TTCACTTGTTCCAATCAAATTAAGTGGAGCAAATTACCAATCTTGGAGTAAATCAGTTATGCATGCTCTTATTGCCAAGAAGAAAATTGGCTTCATTGATGGCACAATTGAGGAACCGCCCCAAGATGCAAATTCAACCGAATTCGAACTCTGGAATCAGTGCAACAGTATGATAATATCTTGGTTAACTCATTCTGTTGAAGCAGATATCGCTAAAAGCATTATTCACGCCAAGACAGCTCATCAAGCGTGGGTTGATCTTCGCGATCAATTCTCACAAAAGAATGCTCCAGCAATTTTTCAAATACAAAACTCGATAGCAACGATGTCACAAGGAACCATGGCACTGTCAACATATTTCACCAAGCTCAAAGCACTCTGGGATGAACTGGAAGCGTACCGCACACCATTTACGTGTAATCAACGTCAAATACATATTGATCAACGCGAAGAAGACAAGTTGATGCAATTGCTCATGGGGCTCAACGAGTCTTATAAAACGGTGAGATCTAACATATTGATGATGTCTCCATTACCTAATGTGAGGCAAGCTTATTCATTACTTGTACAAGAAGAGATGCAGCGACAGGTAACTTCTGAACCTGCTGAGAATTTCTCGATTGCATCAGCAGTGCAGAAGAAAACAACATATTCAAAATTCGCCAAGGACAAATCATGTGAACACTGCAATAAAAGTGGTCATACAATCAATGAGTGTCGAATTCTTAAGTTTCATTGTAAGTTTTGTGATAAAAGGGGACATACAGAAGATCGGTGTCGACAGAAAAATAATTCTACAAGGACAAGACAAGTCAATCAACACAATCATCGTGGATACCGATCATCTGCAAATATGGCCGATGTTTCACAGTTGAATACAGGAGAACAGTCACCTAATTCCATTCCAAATTTTTCTTCTGAGCAATTACGACAGATAGCACAAGCCTTATCTGCAATCAATCAAAACCCTTCTGGTAATTCTGACAATCACATCAATGTTGCAGGTTTGTTTCCCATATCTACATTATCTGTTAACTCTGCGAGTTCTAATTCATGGATTCTCGATAGTGGAGCTACGGATCATATAGTATCAAAATCTTCTGTTATGACTGATCCAAAGGCTGCCATCATGTCTACAATAAATTTGCCTAATGGAGAGACAGCACGTGTGTCACATACTGGCAATATTTCCCTTAGCCCTAACCTTAAGTTAAACAACGTTTTATGTGTGCCTTCATTCAATTTAAACCTAATGTCGATCAGCAAACTTACCAATAACTTGAAATGTTATGTCACCTTCTATCCTGATTCTTGTGTTATGCAGGACTTGGCTACGGGGAAGATGATTGGCTCGGGTAAACAATTTGGAGGTCTCTATCATATTTCTTCATCTCCAATCAAATCTTCAGCTCATCAAGTATCTCAGTCATCTGATTTGTGGCATTTACGTCTAGGTCATCCTTCTTTTTCTCGTTTTAAATTTCTAGCTGATCAATTGCATCTTAATAATGCGAGTTATTCTCATAATTGTAGTATCTGCCCGTTAGCAAAACAAACTAGGTTGTCTTTCCCAAGAAGTTCAATAACAACCCATTCTGCCTTTGATCTGATACATTGTGATGTTTGGGGACCACATAAAATTCCTACCCATTCTGGTTTGCGTTTTTTTCTCACTATTGTTGATGATTTTACTCGATGTACTTGGGTTTTTCTAATGCAACATAAGTCAGAAGTACATCATTTGTTAATGAACTTTGTTAAATTTGTTCAAACTCAATTTCATACTACTATCAAGATAGTTCGATCAGACAATGGGACTGAGTTCCTATCTTTGCAACCATTCTTTACTTCTTGTGGTATTGAATTTCAGCGCACTTGTGTCTATACTCCACAACAAAATGGAGTCGTAGAACGTAAGCATCGCCATATCCTAAATGTAGCTAGGTCTCTTCTTTTTCAGTCACAGGTTCCACTTAATTTTTGGGGAGAGTGCGTTTTAACGGCTGTTTATCTTATAAATAGAACGCCATCACCAGTGTTATCTAACAAGACACCCTTTGAAGCACTCTACAAACGATCACCTACATTTCATCATCTTAAAGTTTTTGGTTGTAAATGTTATGCAACTATAGTACATCCTAAGCAAAAATTTGAACCTCGGGCAATTCCTTGTGTTTTCGTAGGATATCCTTGTGGTCATAAAGGTTACAAATTGTATGACATGCAATCTCACAAATTCTTTATCAGCCGTGATGTTAAATTTTGTGAAGATGATTTTCCTTTTTCATCAGCTTCACAAACTTCGACATTAGCTCCTTCGACTCCTGTTGTTCCACTTCATGATCCATCCTACTTAAGCACCCATCCTCCACCTTCCATTCCTCCTTCACCTCCTATCCCTTCACCTACTACTTCGTCGTCTCCTCCACCTTCTCCAGATTTGCCCACTGATTCCAATCCTATCCCGCCTGATACATCAGCTCCACTCCGACGTTCTACTCGCACTAAACAGCCTCCAGCTTGGCATAAGGATTATGAGATGTCTTCTGGAGCCAATCATTTAACCTCTAGCTCAAGTCCCGGCACTGGCACCAGGTATCCCCTTCATCATTACCTTTCATTCTCTCGTTTTTCTCCTACTCAACGTGCTTTTCTAGCTCTTATTACATCCCAGACAGAACCTAAAACCTATGACGAGGCAGTTGGCGACCCTTTATGGCAGTAGGCTATGAATGATGAAATTGCAGCTTTGGAACGTAATCATACATGGTCTCTCGTTCCTCTACCACCTGGTCATAAAGCTATTGGTTGTCGCTGGGTGTACAAAATTAAATACAACTCTGATGGTTCTGTTGAACGTTATAAAGCTCGACTTGTAGCAAAGGGATACACTCAGGTTGAAGGTATTGATTACACAGAAACATTTTCCCCTACAGCGAAACTTACTACACTTCGTTGCTTACTCACTGTTGCTGCTGCTCGAAAATGGTTCACCCATCAGTTGGATGTTCAAAATGCCTTCCTCCATGGTAATCTAGACGAGGAAGTTTATATGTCTTTACCACCAGGTCTTCGCCGACAGGGGGAGAATACAGTATGTCGGCTCCATAAATCTCTTTATGGATTAAAACAGGCTTCTCGCAATTGGTTCTCCATATTTTCTACAACTATACAAAATGCAGGCTACACCCAGTCCAAAGCAGACTACTCTTTGTTTACCAAGAGTAAAGGTACTTCTTTCACTGCAGTTCTAATCTATGTTGATGATATTCTGTTGACAGGCAATGATCTCAAAGAAATGCAATATCTCAAGACTAGTTTACTCCAGAAATTTCTTATCAAAGATTTAGGAAATTTGAAATATTTTCTAGGCATTGAATTTTCTCGGTCTAGAAAAGGAATTTTTATGTCTCAAAGGAAGTATGCTCTAGACATCCTTCAAGACACAGGCCTTACACGAGCACGTCCAGACAAATTTCCTATGGAGCAAAATCTGAAACTTTCTTTAACTGAAGGAGAGAAATTGAACGATCCAAGTAAATACAGACGGTTGATTGGCAGATTAATATATTTGACTGTCACTAGGCCTGACATAGCTTATTCAGTTCGTATGCTTAGCCAATTTATGCATGAACCAAGAAAACCACATTGGGAGGCAGCTCTTCGAGTTCTGAGGTACATCAAAGGCACTCCTGGTCAAGGACTCCTATTGCCATCTGAAAACAATTTAAGATTACAAGCATATTGCGATTCTGACTGGGGTGGTTATCGAACTTCCAGACGGTCTATTTCTGGATTCTGCATTTTCCTTGGAAATTCAATTATTTCTTGGAAGTCTAAAAAGCAGACTAATGTGTCCAGATCATCAGCAGAAGCCGAGTATCGAGCTATGGCAAATACTTGTTTAGAGTTAACTTGGTTAAGATACATTCTTCAAGACTTGAATGTTCCACTGTCCGAACCAGCATTATTATATTGTGATAATCAAGCAGCATTACATATAGCAGCCAATCCAGTTTTTCACGAACGTACGAAACACATTGAAATAGATTGTCATATAGTTCGAGAAAAGTTACAAGCTGGAATCATCAAACCATGTTATATTTCGACCAAAATGCAATTGGCAGATGTTTTTACTAAAGCTCTGGGAAGACAGCAATTTGATCTTTTGAAGGACAAGTTGGGTGTGATCGACATACACTCTCCAACTTGAGGGGGAGTATTGAGAGAATATTTTGGAGATATATTAGTTAGAATATATCTCAGATATTTAGGGAGTTGTTAGTATAAATTTGATTAATCGTATATTTTATTTATTTACAAGATTTAGTTAGATATATTATTTTTTTCTATTTTTAGGTATTAGTTAATAGTTTGTATCTATTTAAACGTGGTAAACCTGAATGAAGATCATACACTTTTCCAGTTCTATTTTCTATTTCTATTTCTTAACACGATGAGAGTTCTTTAAGAAATGACATGATAGTTCGAGCGAAGAAATTTGACACTGTTCAAGTTAGTGATTATGTCCAGTCTTATTTAGTTTATTAATTATTAATTGTTGAGGTTAAAATGCTTGCTTGGTGATACTGTAGTAGAACTCTGATAAACATAGATGTTAGTTTTGATAGTGTGTTTTGAATAAGTGAGGTAAAGTTTGATGATAATGTTGTGGTACTTGTGGATAAGCAAGGCTAACCCATTGGAACGTGGTCTTTGGCTTAATTCCTCACGAACTCATGACAAAAAAAAACATGTAAAGATTGTCCTATCCATCCTTTTTAGCCCCGTCCCTCGTGTATTGAATACTTTATTTTGTAATGTAAATAGATTATAAAATTTTGATTATGAATGGAAGTCATATTATTTAATGTGCTTTGAAGTATTCCATATGTTCATTTAGTTAAATTGAATTAAATTTATTTTAGATATATTAACATACTATAGCTTTAATAAAAATGCTATAAAATGTTTTCATAGCAACATACATGAACTATACCTTCTTATTTTATTATAACCATCCATTATAGTTATACAAAAAAGTTATAAAAAAAGTCTTAAGACATTTAATAGTGTTGATTGTTAGGATGTACGAAAAAAGCTATCAAAGGTCTATGATAGTTGTTCACCTGCTATTGTATCCAATATTTGTTGTAGTGATTTTTTAGACTCAAGAAAGTTGGCACTACCTATGAACATGATGATAGCATTTATTTAGACCCGAGAGCCATTAGCTGACCTGCCTCAGACATGCTGATCGTGGGAGATACATTGAACTCACACCATGGGAGATATGTTCACAAATCAAACATGACACGTGGCATGCTGAGATCCTGCCTATCCACCCTCAACACATTGATTACTCATGCATGGCATGCGCGCGTAGGGAATCTTCTTTCGCGTGTAGGCGCGTGAGTGACTTCTTTTTGTACTGTTCAGCCTCCATTTACCTATTTTCATCCTGATTTCGATGTTGACCCTAATTTTACTTGAATGAGGACCTACCAGAGGAATTTTAGAAATTTTGGAGCTCCTGACTCGCGAAAAAGCTAGCTTGGGAGGGCACGCTTCATCCAAGTAAGTTATCACACGGATTTTAGGCAAGTAATACCGGTAGCGATCGCTAGAATGTGCTAGCATGCAACATTCCTTACCTTAGGTGGTTAGAAAATGCATATTAAGGACTTTGAAAGGTCGTTTTGGATGAGTATGTATTGTACGTATGTCATGGTAAAATTACAGTTATACCCTTAGGTTGAGATTTCCAAGAAGCATGCTATTTTATGTATTATACAAGGCTAAAAAGAAAATATGCATGATTAAAATACGAGTTGGGCAATATGGATGAGTGTGGTATGCATGATGTATGAAATTACAAAAATACATCTATGATGAGATTTGTGATGAACGTCATTTTATATGTTTTCCGTTGTGTTAGAAAAGAGGATGAGCTATTGTGACTTGTGCTCCGGGTGATTGATGGATGTTATCTCCCCATAGAGCTTGTTTGCTTCTATGTTTGCATGATATAATATGTGTTAGCTCCTGGTGTGATTGTATGTTCTCCCTGTAAAGCATGTTTATTTGTATAGAACTAGGGCATTAGAGTTAGGTTGATTAGACGATGACTTAGGTCAGAACACTTCAAGTAGACTGAGCACTTTAGAATCATACACAACGGTCAGAGGGTCTAGACCCTAGTGCTCCTAGACTAAGAATGACTCGAGGAGTAAAAAAAGAGCAGCTTGGAGTCATAAAATCATGTTAAGCCACCTAGCCGCTTTAGAAATCCAATAGACCTCCTCGATTCCCATATATGACTAAGGTGAAGTTTAAATTGTGGATTACACGCTTAGATGATCGATAGGAATATCTCCCTAGTAAAGCATGCACGAGAGAGCTCAATTAAGATTAGTGCACTACAACTAGTGTGTTTTACATGTTTGACCCAAGTCAGCATGTTTCTAGTAGACCTTGCACACCAGGATCGTGAATGATCAGAGGTTTAAACCTATATGCACCCAGAGATTGGTTTGGCCATAGGAGCTAACCCTGAAGTCTTGGAAACGAGAGATGAGATTTAAACCGCCTAGACACCTCTAGAGACCTAGAAGGCCACCACAGCAACCTTGGAGAAAAATAAAGGTAGCCTATAAGCTGATAGCAGCTAGTAAAGTGTTTGCAGATTCCACTCCGGTATGGTATGTTTAGCTTGGCGTGAGGCCGGTTAGGAACGTGTGACCTAAGAGAGAGTTTGGGTGGATTACCCTACGCTGTGGATCTGCATCATCCACACGAGGATGTGCAATGAGCGGGTGTCCATGGTTACGGTTCAGTAGAGTTACCATCGAGTCAATGTATCAACTTGAGCAAGAGGATGTCCTACCTTTGGGAATCGGGCATAAGCAACTTTTGAGGATGAAAGTTTTTAGTGGGGAGAATTTGTAACACCTAAGTCTCGACGAGGAATTAGAAACCCAATTTTTTCTTTTAAAGTCGAATTTTTGGGATTTTATTGAGAGTCCTACCGGCCAAATTTCAAGATGAGATAGAAGAGATAAAAATTCCATAAACTGAAAAAATATATAAATGAAAAGAGGTAAAGTTAGAAAAATCGGTCAAAGTCAACCCACATTTGGTCATTTTGATCCTCCATTCCGGGGTCTGCATTAGCCTTAATAAGATTATAAGAACAAAGAAAAAGAAAGAAACAAAGAAAAGGAAAAGCCGCAACTTTCTACAAAGATGGAGCTAAAATTCGACATGGGTTCTGCTCATTCTTCATGCTCTCTCGTTACAACTTCCTCCACCAAACATTTCTGCTTTTCCCAATCTTCAATTTGCGTATCAAAGTTACACCCAACAAGTCAGAATCAAATCAGATCTATCAAATTCACTTCTCACCCTTTTCATTGTTGTTGTTCCTCTTCACAACATTTGCCTTTAAGGTGTAATCAAGTAGGTGAATTTGAAAGCCAAGTGAAGTCTTTGAAAACCATGGCGGATATTCATGGCATTGATCAAGAGTTGCTGAAGAAGATGGTCTATGATGCTCTTGTTTGGAGTTCTCTACATGGACTTGTTGTTGGTGACAAGTCAGTGAAGGTAAGCATTTCTGCAGTTTATAGGATGGATGTTCTCTGCCTTTTATTTGGTTTTTGTATGCTGAAAATGTCTTATGATTGTTGCTTCTGCTGTTAGTTTGGAAAGATGAAGGACCGAATGATTCATAATAGTGGATTATTACTCGTTGCTTATGATACTCTCTCCAATTAGTGTTTATGAAAGAGAAACGCAAATGTTCTTACTAAAGGAGCATTGGAAGAAGATATGGTGCATTCCTTTAGATTCTGAACCAAAAAGATTGAAAATTCCATATCCTCTCATCATTTCAAGTAACTGTTATTTCTCCATTAAAAAAATGGTAGAAATTTCTCAAAGTAGTAATTGGAATAAGGACGTCTGTAAAGTGGTTGCTGATGCTGAAACAGCAAACGTCTTTTGGGGGTAAAATTTTAATATCATTTCAAATGTTTTGGGCTGCAGAGATCAGGTAAAGTACCTGGTGTAGGTTTGGTTCATGCCCCAATTGCCTTGTTACCTGGGTTATTTCCTGAAACTCATTGGAAGCAAGCATGTGAGTTAGTCTCCATTTTTAATGAATTAGTCGATCGGGTGAGCTTGGATGGGAAATTTTTACAGGAATCATTATCCAGGTATGCTCGCTCGAGAGCCCTTTCATGTCTGGCACACACACTAGTTATTGACTCTTGGAATTCTCATGTCTTTATACTTGACACAATCATCTTGTCTTAGCTCTGCTCTTGCCTGGATCTTCACATTTTAGACAGTACTTTCTTTTGTTTTTGGTAACTTGTCTTTTGTATTTCATTTCGTTTGATGGAAGTGCCTTCTTTATTAGCATGTATCGATTATGATCCCAACGTATTCTATTCATCTGCTGATCTGGTTCATCCTCATTCGTTTGTTCTTTCCTTTTTAATTCTTCTAACTAGTTACCTTCCCTACTTTCTACCATTATGGTTATTAGTGGAGATTTTCGCTGCCTAAAAAAGACTTCATATGTCATTCATATAGCAGAACCAAAAAAGTGGATGCTTTTACGTCTAGACTTTTAGTTATTCATTCCAAGATGCTTTTACGTCTAGCCTTTTAGATATTTATTCCAAGATGCTTTTACGTCTCTGCCTAAAAGACTTTTGATATGTCATTCATGTTGCAGAACCAAAAAAGTGGATGCTTTTACGTCTAGACTTTTAGATATTCATTCCAAGATGCTTCAGATTGACAAAAAAGAGGTTAGTGTATGCAAATTTTTATTGATATTGTGTAGGTCAACTATCAAACTTTTATATTGTAGCTTTTTGGATACAGTTAATGTGTTTCATGACCAATTTTTTAAAAGGCTTAAGGCGGCTTGAGGTTTTTCCTTGTAGAGATGCGAAGGGTAGACACTCACTGTGAACAAATAAAAACAAAAAGAACACGAGTAAAGAAGGGACAAAGAATAAAACAAAACTCACCTTGTTGTGTTGGTTGTCAAAGAGTTGCGACTTTTTTCTTTTGTTAATGCAGTCACTCAGAGTCAGCTCTATTTTAAATAACACAGCAAGGTGAACATTCGATATATATATATATATATATTTTAAGTAAACCAATAGAACTTCTTCTAATTTTTCAGTGCATTTTTAAGTTTTCTTTGATATCTGTCTTTCCCCATGGTTGACGAAAATGAACTGCTTGAATTAAATGCACTGCTTGCACAGCAGGGGCCTATGGCGCACCAGAAATAAACACAAGGCTTACGCCTTATAGCCACAGAGGTGTTCGGATGGAGGCTTATGCCTCTATTGAGAGAGGCATAGGCCCCTCTTTGTGTGTAAAAGACATAAGCCTTGAGAAAAAATGTTGCTGCCTCGCTTCAAGGCTTCTGCCTTAAACACCTTTTAAAACGTTGTTTATGGCAAGTTTTTAGTTTAAAAAAATTAATTCCATTCACTTGTTATGTTTTTACTGTGTGACATGAAATATTTACATAACCTTGCAGTTTAGAATAAGTTAACTTCAGCCTTGTAAATGAATATGAAACTTCCATTATGTTTGTGGCTCCTAAAGACATTACCTACTTAATTTTGATGTTTATGGCTCTTAAAGACATTACCTACTTAATTTTGATGTTTGTGGTTCCGAAAGGCCTTACCTACATAATTTCTCCATGCTATGCAATTTTATCCAAAAGGGTTGTATTATTTAATTGAAGGATTATAACGAACTTCTCCAATTATTCAAGTAGGAAATTCGCTTGGGTTTACATCGCTCAGATTATATGCTTGATGAGAAAACAAAATTACTTCTTCAAGTAGAGCTCAACACCATATCATGTTCATTTGCTGAATTTAGTCATCTAGTCAGCCAACTTCATAGGTAAATATAACTTTTATAGACATCTACCATTGAGATTTCTTGTGCCTTAGATTTTGTGTATATTTGGCCATTTTAATCCTCCCATTAAAATATAACTTTTATCAGAAAAAACTTGTACATACAGCAGATTATATTTGATCCTTCAATTATTTATTTATTTTTATGAGAAACCAAGTTTTCATATACAAGGGCATATAAAAAAAATATCCCAACAAGGGAAGTCCAATCAAAGAACGAGACTCCAACAGAAAAGAATGATGCCTAGTTGTTAATGTGAGACCCACATCGGTTGGAGAGGGGAATGAAGTATTCCTTATAAGGGTGTGGAAACCTCTCCCTAGCAAACACGTTTTAAAACCGTGAGGCTGATGATGATTCGTAACGAGCCAAAAGGGACAATATTTGCTAGCGGTGGGCTTGAGCTATTAAAAATGGTATCAGAGCCAGTGTGACAATGTGCCAACGAGGACGTTAGGCTTCCAAGGGGGGATTGTGAGATCCCACATCAGTTAGAGAGGGAACAAAGCATTCCTTACTAGGTGTAGAAACCTCTCCCTAGTATACGCGTTTTAAAAACCTTGAGAGGAAGGCCAGAAGGGAAAGTTCAAAGAGGACAATATCTTCTAGTGGTGGACTTGGGCTGTTACAACTTTTCCTCCAGAAGTTCTCTGAATTGTTTGAGATGTCCGAGAGCTTTGTCTTAACTCTTCAGTAAAAGAACATTATTTATCCATGCCTGATCATTCATTTTGTTATTTTATCTTGCAGTGATTTACTTGGTCAATATGGGGAAGTCCTCGGATTAGACTCGAGAATGATTCCTGAAAATCATGCGGGTAATCAATATGCTGAGGTATTGGTCAAAGCTTGGACTGAATATAACAACCCAAGGTTAGATTTGAAAATTTGATCTTCTTATTCATCACCATTCCTCAAACCTAATTTTCAGTGGGTTATTAATTTTTGTAGTGCTGTTATCATGATTGTGGTTCAAGCTGAGGAACGCAACATGTACGATCAACACTGCCTTTCTGTTAACTTGAGAAAAAGATATCCACTTTTTCCTGATTGTCAGGCTCCATTAGAGTACATAATTATCTTTATTGTGCACCCAATCTTTTTACTATTTGAACAATTTGATCTATCGAGTTTTCCATGTAAACGTTCCTTAGCTTTATAATACACATTATATCAAAACTCTTCGGAAAACACTGGCAGAAATCGATAGGGAGGGAGAACTGCAATCTGATGGAACACTCCTTGTGTAAGTAGTTTTGAATGTCAAAATTAGTTATTCCTAGGAAAATTGGGTTACCATTTTATGTTACTTGGAATTCCTGAGAGCTTCCTCCTGCAGAGATGGCCAAGCAGTTGCAGTTGTGTACTACAGGGCTGGATATACACCCACTGACTATCCTTCTGAATTGGTAAGTAACTTCCTTCCTGTTGTAACTTGTCATGAAGAATAGGTTCATGCATCTCCTATGCATGTATTGACATTTATTTGATTCATAACTCTCATTTATTTGGTTCATCTTCCATTTTGTTGATTCATGTATGACATTAATGCTTCTATACCTATATAAAGGGTTGTCTAGGATGGTTGAGATGTATTGAGTTTGATTGAGTTTGAGTGTCATTTTGCATTTGTTGAGTGACATTTGGGAGGAACTTTGTTGAGAGATTTTGTGGGGTGAGATATACACTTAGTAAACACTTTGATTATTGAGATTGGTTGTTACCTGTGGATGTAGGAGAATTTCTTATCTCCGAACCACATAAATCTTTGTGTTTCTTTGCTAAACTTCTGTTTGTGGGTGAGTGAGTGCGATTGATCTTGTTTCCGCTTCCGTTACATCACTTCTTTGGTTGGGATTACGTTCATATATTCTTTTGGAATGAGCTTCCTCGGCATTAGTGTTACCCTTCATTTTAGGAAGAAACTCGCATTTTCGGATGAATCTCAATAGTTTTATGAAATCTTAAGACACAAGCAAAAGTTGGTTTTTTCATATAGAAATTGATGACTTTTATCTATTTCAATTCCAAGCAATTTCATTATATCTTGAGTAAAGCTTTGGGGTTATTTTCTCATTTGAATGGTAAAAAATTTCAGGAATGGAAAGCAAGGTTACTTATGGAGCAGTCATCTGCAGTCAAATGCCCATCCATATCTTACCATTTAGTGGGCACCAAAAAAATTCAACAGGAACTTGCACAACCAAATGTACTTGAAAGGTATTAATTATTGATCTTAGTCTTGCTTAAAGAATATTACCCGATGATCCTATGCTTTTCCGTTAGAAATGAAAGATGGTCCGAGTTCGTTTAATGATCGTCTAAGGTCATTAGGGCTGCATTACCCCATGGAAAGGTGTCGAGTTGTCCCAATTCCCTGCTGAAAATGCCGTAGTTGTATCTATAGGATCAATTTTCAAAACCCAAATGGTTATTCAAACGACTCTAAATGTTTTATTTTTGGATACTTTTTAGACGAAACTAAGTAGCAACCATGTGGCAAAACAGGCTACTCTCCCAAGGAGAGCTTTAAAGCCTTTTTATTCACTAAATCATAGTTTCTATCCCAAATATTTATATCCCGTGGCTGCTCACTCCATAGAAGGCGAAAATATACATAGTAGATTAGTCTAGTAAAATTTACTAGCTGAATGACTGATTCAGCTAGTAAAATTTACTAGTAGATTAGTAGATTAGTCTAGTAAAATTTACTAGCTGAATGACTGATTCCACACAACTATGTGACACTCGAGTAAATGAAGGGTACATCTGAATAAGAGCGATCCTAAGAATAAGATGACTAAGAAAGACTTAAAAGAATTGAAAGTTAGTACCTATATAAATAAGGTACACCTTCGTTCTCGGTGACTCAATCATAGGTACTCCAAAATGAAGCATGTTTTGCTTAGGACATATTACCACGAGGTGGAGACTCATCTACATGCATGCCTGCTAATAAATTGACTGCCATTACCAATGCATCTTCATTCTCCAACGGTGTTGAAACAATTAAACCTATATCTCCCAATTGCAGAGAGCTGTTAAGATAAGACATTGTTATCAGATTGTTGGGATTTGATAATTTATGTATGAAATAGCTTTTCTTATTGCAATTTCTATATGCAGCTGAACTTTTAAGCCCCTACTTCAGGTTCCTTGACAATAAAGAGGATATTGCCAAGATAAGGAAATGCTTTGCAGGGTTGTGGAGTTTAGATGACAAAGATATCGTAAAAAAAGCCATCGAAGCACCAGACCTATTCGTTATGAAGCCGCAAAGAGAAGGCGGAGGTCGGTTCCATCACCTTTTAAATTCTCTCATTATGATTTGCCTCGACTCCTTTCTTCCTTTCCTTAATAAACAATTCATCAATCTCCTTCAGGGAACAATATCTATGGCGATGATGTGAGGAAAACCCTTGTAAGATTGCAGAAGGAAGGGAATGTAGAAGATGCTGCTTACATTCTTATGCAGAGGATATTCCCATCTGTTTACCCGACAATTTTTGTTCGAGATGGGATTTGTCATAAGGATCACGCAATTTCAGAGCTCGGTATATTTGGTGCTTACTTAAGGTATACAACTGTGATATCCCACATCGGTTGGAGAGGAGAACGAAACACTCTTTATAAGGGTGTGGAAACCTCTCCCTAGTAGACGCGTTTTAAAAACCTTGAGGGGAAGCCCAAAAGGGAAAGCCCAAAGAGGACAATATCTGTTAGCGGTGGGTTTGGGGCCGTTACAAATGGTATTAGAGCCAGACACAGGGTGATGTGCTAGCGAGGAGCTTGTTCCCCGAAGGGGGTAGACACGAGGCGGTGTGCCAGCAAGGACTCTGGGCTCCGAAGGAGGGTGGATTTGGTGGGGGTCCCACATCGATTGGAGAAAGGAACGAATGCCGGCGAGGATCTTGAGCCCTAAAAGGGGGTGGATTGTTATATCCCACATCAATTGGGGAGGGGAACGAAACACTCTTATAAGGGTGTGGAAACCTCTCCCTAGTAGATGCATTTTAAAAAACAGGGTAAGCCCAAAAGGGAAAGTCCAAAGAGGACAATATCTGCTAGTGGTGGGCTTGGGCCGTTACAGCAACTTACTTATCTACAACTTCTTTGAGATTATCTGATGCTAACCAATTGGATGATTATGATGGATGAAGAAAGAAGGGACAAACAGAGACGTTTTAATTGTGAAACTTGTTTGTTTGATATGCAGGAACAAGGACAAAGTAATTGTCAATGACCAATGTGGTTACCTGATGACGACCAAAGTATCTTCATCTAATGAGGGTGGGGTTGCAGCGGGATTTGCTGTTTTGGACAGTATTTACTTAACTAACTAAGGGATGGATTTTATTGATATTTATGATTCATGATATTCTGCAGACAGCTTTCTCACCCCTCAACTATGCTGAATTGATCTAGAGTTTTCTATTTATGGAGTTCAAGTTTCTCTGCCTAAAGGTTCTTTAGGCTTTGTTTTTTTCTTTGATATTAAGGGGTGGGAAGAATCCCCGCCATTGCAAAGAATCCAAAGAAAAATACCCCAGTTCGGGAGCCTCCAGTTGTAATAAAGGAAATAGCCACGATTCTATTAACATCTCTAATACTGCTAAACTCAAAAAAGGGGTTGGATAAAGGATGTGGGAGAGGAGCTGTTTTGGGTTTCCTTCTTCTAGGAGGCAATGGAATTGTGAGACTAAGGGGAAGAGGAGCTGTTTTAATTTGCTAATGGCTAAATTTGCTAAGATCAATTGCCCATGCAAGGAAGATGTATAGTTGATTGACTTAAAGTACCAAAAGGATTCGAAAAACTTTTAGTGGAGGAGCACTTATGATCCTCTTGATATACACATCATGTCACAACCATACTATGAAAAAAGTAGGTTATGACCCTCATGTTGCGACAAGCAAAGCATCGACCCTTAAGTGGCGTCCATCTGAACATGTGAGGCTTAGACGAGTGTCATGGTGCGAACGAGGAGGACAATGCATCATTCAACACACCACATAGAGTGGACATTGAAGAGAAGATGAGACATAAGCAAGATAAGGCCCGGAACCCTACCTAGCTCTTCAACAAGTCTATTTTTGACACTCGTGTCAAACGAGGTGGGGTTTTGGAGGGAATTTGGGCATGTGGTTCTGGAGTCAAGTCAGTTCATATGAAATATGAATGCTCGCCAAATTTGGTGTCAGTTGGACACTGGATAGACATTCCACGACTCCGTATGACCGTTCACCAAAATGACGTTTATTTGAGAAAGATTGAAAATGCCTCAAAATATAGGGGGAGACATGAGCCCTATGGCCTAAGTGAGCTAACCTTGTGGCACATGTGTATCAAGTGAGGGCGAGTGTCTTAAGCTACTTCCTTTGAAATGAGTTTTTCAAGAATAGTACCGGGCGGCACAAGTGTGCCAGTGGTGCGCCCCTCGCTCATGTGTACTCGTGCTAGGACACAATAACGGCACACTCGTGCCACCCAGTACTGTCTTTGAAGAACCATTTTAAAGGAAGTTGCTCAAGACACTCGTCTCACAATGCTTGCCCTCATTGTGACACAGGTATGTGCCATAGGGTAGCTCACTTAAGCCATAGGGCTCAAGGGTGGTGGAGAGCTGACATCATGCCTCCCCCTAAGGTACATTTTGAGGCATTTTTAATCTTCCTCGGGTAGATGTCATTTTGGTGAATGACCATAGAGTGTCTGATTGACACCAAATTTGATGTCATATTTCATATGGATGGACTTGACTCGAGAACCGCATGCCCAAATTCCCTTCAGAACCCCCAATTTTGTGGTTAAGGCTCGAAGCCCTACTCGGTCCTTCAACAAGCCTATCTTTGACTCGTGTCTAATCGTGACCCTTATCTTGCTTATGTCTCGTCATTTCTTCAATGCCCACTCTATGTGATATGTTAGATGATACACTGTCCTCCTTGGTTGCATCACGACACTTGTCTAGGCCATCACGTGGTCGGATGGGTGCCATTTGAGGGTTGCCACTTTGCTTGTCGTAAAGCGAAGGTCACAACCTACTATATTGATAGTATATTTGTGACACAATGCGCATATATCAAGAGGACTATCGATGCCTCTTCTCCACTAAAAGCTTTTGAGCTCCTTCTTTTAGTATTTCAAGTCAATCAGCTATACATCCTCCCTCCGATCTTAGAAAATCAATTCCATTTCCTCTTTTCAAAAACTTCTCAGATGGACTGAAAAGAATCCATGGACCACATCTTTCATCTATCCTATATATTTTTTTTTGAGTTAGCTGTATCAGTGAAGGTTAATGGAATTGCGATTCTTTCCTTTATTACGATGCAAAGAAAATAGCAACCCATATTTTTTTCGATTGGAAAGTAATTCATCTCAACTGCATCTCCTGTCCTACTCACATGATAAAGGGCACGTCCCATTCCATTTTCTTTCTCCTATGCTAGCAACGCTCTGTGCAATCTTTCTTGAGTGATGGTGTACAATAGTAGTGGATTTTCTTCTATAGGGACACAAAAAAAAAAAAAAAAAAAGGATTAAACAAGTATTTCTTGATGCTTTCAATATCATTTTGTTCTCCTTTCGTCGTTAACATTTGTGCAATCTTTTGTATGGCGTCAATTTTTTATTAACTTTAATACAATTCTTCAATGTCTTGTAACAACATAGAATCGACCACGAGTCATCAACATAGCACTCGATATGTTAATGTAGCATATCACCTTTTGCATAGTAGGTTTAAAACAATATATCTTTTTTCTTTTTTTGGAGAGGTCATTATCTCTGTATCTTTGGTAATAATAGGATGATCCATTCATAGAAGGCAAGGCTCCAATGTCCTGTGGTGGCATCAATCTTGAAAATTCGGCCGAGAGTCGCTCCGCCGACTGGAACATTTAGTGCCATGACGTTGTTAGGATCTCATATAGTCCTTTATGACCCTGGCCTGTAAATGGACCTTTATGAGCCTCTAAAATATCTTTTATACCATGACCAATGCCCCAGTTGGTCCTATACATGTGACCTGCTACTAATTGAATGAACCTTTCCGTATAAAGTCTTAATTGAACGGGAAGAGAAAGAGTATGAACAAATCAAAAAGAAGAGGAAACTCAAGCAAATGCCTTTTACACTTTGAAGCAACTATTCCCTAGATACACACGTCGTGATATTTTAGTGATATTTTATTTCACAATTGAATCAATTTAAAAATGATTTCACCAATATGCAATGTAAAGTTTTCATTTGGACATGCATTTGTCAAATGAATTTATTGCATCTATTCTCTAGGTGAAAACGGTGGGTATGGTTTAGTTTTAATAATAATTTTGACTATTTTATTTGTAATTTAACATTATACATGGTATGAAAAATGTTGTTCAAGTAATAAACTAAAATGTTTACGGTGTATGGATAAAGTTAGGTATCTTATCTTAGTTACAGTATTGACGAGACTTATTTTGTAATTATTACTAATTATTTGATCCAAATTGTTTACGTGAATACATGTGAGTGAGAATATTTTCTACCATGAATTTGTATAAAACTAGACTACAAAATATTTAATCTCTTTTTATAAATTTGTTGATTGAAAAGATTAATATTTTACTAAATAATCATTAGACTTGATGTTAAATCTTTAATGAGTTATAAATTTTTGTCCGCGAGAACTTATCATTTGGTTTGCATGAGTGAATGACTTTTTGTAAGTCGGTTCAATATGTCTACCAGTTTAAATTTTACTATTTCAGTTTTAAAGAATTTTTTAGGTTAAATAAAATTTATGGTTAGAGATTTCATGATTTAAATATTTCATGGCATACACGAGTAACGATTAAGTTATATTTTAAAGGCAATAGTTTTCGACACATGAGAATATTGTTTTTGAGCGATTTCTTGACCAAACTCATCATGATTCTGATTCATTTTAAAGGTTATGGTGAAAATTGCTAATAACTAGGGTAGGTAAATAAACATATTCTTTTCGTTGAATTACAAGTTTAATTCATAAATTTCGAGATTTGTGTCTATTTGAGGATTCAACTTTGAAAATTGTCTAATAAGTCCTTGATTTTCAATTTTGTATTTAATAGATCCTTGATATATTCAAAAATTTTAAAATTAATTGATCTCGTAGAGATCTCTTATACTTAAAATTGTGTATATAGTTTTTGAACTTTCGAGTTTTTTTAAAGTGAAACAACGAATCTCTACATTGATATGATATTATTTACTTTAAGTATAAGCTCCCCAGTTAAATAGTGTCTCTTACTTATATACTCATAATATTCTCCTTATAATTAGCCCATGTGAAATTCTAACAATTTTCAACAATATATTCTTCGGTTACGAAAAGTCACATCGACAACGCCGAGCAGGAAAAGTAATGGAGAGAAATGGTTTTAAAATAAAATATGAACATTAAAGGAAAGGACATCGGATTCATATTTGATGGGATGTAATAAAAACAACGGTGGATTCATATGCTTTTTATTCTTTCTTATCAAAATTAGCGGTTTGTAAAATATTTTCGACTAAATTAACGCAAATAGACTTCCTACTTAACTTAAAAAAAAAAAAACCCAAAAGTTATAATAATATTTTAAATTAAAAAATACTATTACCTTGAATTTGTTTTTAAAATATTTTAAAATTTTGAAAAGTATTTCAAAAATATTAATTTTTTTTTTCTAAAAGTTAAAAAATAGTTTTTTTTTTTTTTTTTGACAATTTTATTAGTATCTTTAAACATTTTTAAAAAGTTAAAAGGTCTTTTATTTAAAAATTTAAAGGTATTAATATTATTTTTAAAAATTATATTAAAAAGTGGAAATATATTTTTAAGGTACACTTTCTAGAAATTTAAAAATATTTTTGATGGGGTTATTTCTAAAACTAATAATAAAATAAAAGTATTTTTGAAATTTGGATAGCTAGTATTTTTTGAAACATATATAAAATTGATGAATATTATTATTAATTTAATATATATATATATATATTATATTATATTTGTATTAATTTAATTTTTTTTTTTTTTTTTTTAATAAAACCCATGCCCAATCCGCCCGGCTGGCTGTGCTCCCTCGGGCTAATGGCGGCATTGGCTGCATCTTTTTACGAAGATAGAGCAAAAATTCGACATGGGTTCTGCTCATTCTTCATGCTCTCTCCTTACAACTTCCTCCACTGAACATTTCTGCTTTCCCCAATCGCCAATTTGCGTATCAAAGTTACGCCCAGCAAATCAGAATCAAATCAGATCTATCAAATTCACTTCTCACTCTTTTCGTTGTTGTTCCTCTCTACAGAATTTGCCTTCAAGGTGTAATCAAGTAGGTGAATTTGAAACCCAAGTGAAGTCTTTGAAAACCATGGCGGATATTCATGGCATTGATCAAGAGTTGCTGAACAAGATTGTCTATGACGCTCTTGTTTGGAGTTCTCTACATGGACTTGTTGTTGGCGATAAGTCAGTGAAGGTAAGCGTTTCTGCAGTTTATAGGATGGATGTTCTATGCCTTTTATTTGGTTTTTGTTTGCTGAAAATGTCTTATGATTGTTGCTTCTGCTGTTGGTTTGGAAAGATGAAGGATGAATGATTCATAATAGTGGATTATTACTCGTTGCTTATGATACTCTCTCCAATTAGTGTTTATGAAAGAGAAACGCAAATTTTCTTACTAAAGGAGCATTGGAAGAAGATATGGTGCATTCCTTTAGATTCTGAACCGAAATATTAAAAATTTCATATCCTCTCATCATAAAGATGAACACGACTCTCTACCATGGTATGATATTGTCCACTTTGAGCATAAGCTCTCATGGCTTTGCTTTGAGCTTCCCTAAAAGGCCTCATACCAATGGAGAGAGTATTCCTTGATTATAAACCTATGTTCATTCCCTAAATTAGCGGAGGTGGGACATTCATCCAACAATTTCAAGTATAACTGTTATTTCTCCATTAAAAATAGGGCAGAAATTTCTCAAAACAGTGATTGGAATAAGGATGTATGTAAAGTGGTTTCTGATGCTGGAACAACAAACGTCTTATGGCGGTAAAATTTTAATATAATTTCAAATGTTTTGGGCTGCAGAGATCAGGCACAGTACCTGGTGTAGGTTTGGTTCATTCGCCAATTGCCTTGTTGCCTGGGTCATTTCCTGAAACTCATTGGAAGCAAGCATGTGAGTTAGTCTCCATTTTTAATGAATTAGTCGATCGAGTGAGCTTGGATGGGAAATTTCTACAGGAATCATTATCCAGGTATGCTCGAGCCCTTTCATGTCTGGCACAGACACTAGTTATTGGCTTTTTCTTCTAATTTCCATGAAACATGTTCTTGACCGTTCCATGAAATATGTCTTGAGGATAGGTATGCTCTGACCTCTGGCTGAGAAAAACTAAAAGCCAGTTTCCACTTTATGTAATTAATAATCACTTGCTCATCAGTGGTCTATTACATTTTCTTTCCATTCTCATTACCCTATGCATTAGTTAAATATCAACATGGTTCTTCCGAGGCCACCACTAATGTTAAATAGTAATACTTGATGAAGCAATCGACATGCTCACTCCCTACATCCCTTTTCATCTCAACTTGTATGTGTCAACATTTCTAGAATTTCTAACATCATACTTGATTAAACATCAGAAATTGGAGAATGATGTTTTCAGATTGGAATTCTCATGTCCTTGTACTTGACACAATCATCTTGTCTTAGCTCTGCTCTTGCTTGGACCTTCACATTTTAGACAGTAGTTAATTTTGTTTTTTGTAACTTGTCTTTGTATTTCATTTCGCTTGATGGCAGTGCCTTCTTTATTAGCATGTATCGATCATGATCCCAATGTATTCTATTCATCTTGTGATCTGGTTCATCCTTATTTTTTGTTCCTTCCTCTTTAATTCTTCTAATTAGTTAGGGTGTATAACTACCTTCCCTATTTTCTACCATCATGGTTATTAATGGAGATTGTCTGTGCCTAAAAAAGATGTTTTATATGTCATTCATGTTGCAGAACCAAAAAAGCAGATGATTTTACGTCTAGACTTTTAGATATTCATTCCAAGATGCTTCAGATGGACAAAAAAGAGGTAAGTGTATGCTAAGTGTTATTGATATTGTTTGGCGTGATGAGTAAACTATCAAATTTTTATATTGTAGTTTTTTGGATAACAGTTCGTATGTTTTATGACCAATTTTTTAAAAGGCTTAAGGCGGTTGAGGTGTTTCCTTACAGAGAGGTGAGGCGTAAGGCCCATTTTAAATTAAAAAAAATATATTGAAAAACACAAGACCATATATATTCTTAACACTATAATATTTCTTAAAAGTACAAAAACACATTACAAAAATAATAACTAAAAAGGAAAAAATCTCAATAGTCCGTTTGTGTTAATAAAACTCACTGTGAACAAATAAAAACAAAAAGATAACAAGAGTAAAGAAAGGAAAAAGAATAAAGCAAAATTCACCTTGTTGTGTTGCTGTCAAAGAGTTGTGACTTTTTCCTTTGGTTAATGCAGTCACTCACAGTCAGCTCTATTTTAAAATAGCACATCAAGGCGAACGTTGGATATACATTTTTTAAGCAAACCAATTGAACTTCTTCTTCTTCTCATTTTGCAGTGCATTTTTAAGTTTTCTTTAATATCTGCCTAGCCCCATGGTCGAGTATGGTTGACGAAAATGCACTACTTGAATTAAATGCATCGCTTGCACAGCATGGGCTTATAGCACACCACAAATAAACACAAGGCTTACGCCTTATAGCCACAGAGTTGTTTGCACTGAGGCTTATGACTCCGTCGAGAGAGGCATAGGCCTCTCTTTGTGTGTTAAAGGCATAAGCCTTGAGAAACAATATTGCTGCCTCACTTCAAGGCTTACGCCTTGAACGCCCTTTTAAAACGTTGTTTATGAAAAAAAATTTGTTAAAAAAATTAGTTTTTTGGTGCAGCCGTTTCATTAGATATATTCCGTTCACTTGTTAGAATAAGAAGACGAAAAATCTCATTACTTCAGTTTTGTAAATGAACATGAAACTTCCAAGATGTGTGTGGTTTTTCAAGACATTACCTACTTAATTTTGATGTTCGTGGTTCCAAAAGGCCTTACCTACTTAATTTCTCTTTGGTATGCAGTTTTATCCAAAAGGGTTGTATTATTTAACTGAAGGATTATAACGAACTTCTCCAATTATTCAAGCAGGAAATTCGCCTGGGTTTACATCGCTCAGATTATATGCTTGATGAGAAAACCAAATTACTTCTTCAAGTAGAGCTCAACACCATATCATCTTCTTTTGCTGGACTTAGTCAAATAGTCAGTAAACTTCATAGGTAAATATTAGAGAAATTTACCATTGAGATTTCTTGTACCTTCAATTTTGTGTATATTTGGCCATATTAATCCTTCCATTAAAATATAACTTTTATCAGAAAAAAGGAGTACATACAGATGATTATATTTGATCCTTCAATTATTTATTTATTTTTATGAGAAACCAACTTTTCGTATACAAGGGCATATAAGAAAAATATCCCCACAAGGGAAGTCCAATCAAAGAAAGAGACTCCAAAAGAAAAGAATGGTACCTAGCTGGTAATTACAAAAAAACTTGAGAGATTGAAGTCACGAAGAAGTGTTAAATCTAATGGTATCTCAAACCTCTCTACTCCCCTAAAAATTCTATTGCTCCTTTCTTATCAAACACCGCACAAAACAACAAAGCAACCAGCAAAACCCTTCCCTTATTCCAAAAAGGAGGTTGTTGTGGCATTTTGTCCATCATAGAATGACAGTCTGTGTTACATGTCAAACAAAGCCCAAACAACTCCAAGTCCTGATCCCACAATGACGAATATGGTTGAGATTTTTCAAATGCTCCTCTGTAAAGGATGCATCGCTGCAGCCTCAAGGAATAGGAAGGGTGCCTCTCAATATAATTCTAAGTGTTGACTTTTCCATACAAAACCTACCGAGCAAAGAATTTGACATTCTTGGAGATCTTGACCTTTCCAAAGTGAACAAACAGGCACTCGGGTAGGTTGAAAGGATGCATAAGAGGTGGAAGATTATGTTTGGTCCTTTTGGATCGATGCTCTTTTTTGAAAGATTTAGTTGGAAAGAAGTTGAATAATTTTTTAAGAAGTTAGTTGAGAGTATAGGGAAATTCTTTAGTGTGCGAAAAATTATCAATTTCGTTGGCTGTACTCTCTTCCACCCTCTTGAGATAGGTGACATCTCTCCGCACCTTTGTAATTACAAGATTTCTTTGATCTCTACCAATTGTATATTGAGAAATTCCTTTACTGCGGTGTGCTTTCACCTCTTTTTATATCATAGGTCTTAATCATGAAAGTATACAAGTGGAAGTCAGTCAAGAGAGGTATTTAATAGTCGAAAACAAAAAGGGGTAACTATACAAGTGAAATCAATCAAGAGAGATAATTAATTGTCAAAGACAAAAAGGGTAACTAGTGTATGGGAAATGACTGTATTTAAGATATGACAAAACCCCCATCTTTAAGTTAGAATATGAAAAGGCTGGTAAGTAATATAGTACAATGTTTTAAATAGCGTTCAAGGTGTAAGCCTTGAGGCTAGGTGGCAACATTGTGCCTCAAGGCTTATGTGTTGAACACATAAAAAGAGGCCTACACTGAAAGGTGTAAGCCTCTATGTGAACACCTCACAGGCAACAAGTTGTAATCCTTTTGTTTATTGGTGGTGAGCCATGGGCCATGGGGCTATGCATATATCAAAGAAAACTTAAAATGCACTAGAAACTGAGAAGGCATAAGAAGTTCAATCTATTAGATGGAATGCGGGCAATGATCTTATATGTCCAAGGGATAAGACTAATAGGCGCATACTCAAACACATATTTAGAATCTAGTTTTTTGGAATTAAGTAAACGTATGTTTCATTGAGAGCCACATTGATTATCCTAACAGTATAGAAGTCTCTAGTCATAGTCATAACATCTTGCTTAATAATATTCTATCAGAATTTTAAGAACTCCGCAGTGAAACCATCAAGACCAGCGGACTTACTTGAGCCTAAGGGTTTTACTGCTTGATAAACCTCGTCAGAAAAATCAATTTCCTAATCTGCAAGTTGAACAACTCTAATCGGACTCCAATCATTGAATTCATTCTCAATATTGCTTGCTGAAAGTAAACTGAATCCTTCTTAAGATAAGACCTCAGAAATAGAATTTTTCCACTTGTGTTCAGCCATGGTACGATTAACTTTTTTTTTTTTCTTTGTATTTTTATCACTCTCTTTAAGCCAATTCAACTTACAGTGTTGTTTTCCAGTAAACGTGCTCCTATGCAGTTAAGTTCTCAATATGTTCTCTTAAAAGTCTTCTCATGGGTGTTTGATCTAAGGATAAAGGGCCCCTGTCCTCCATGCTGTCGATTTTTCAACTGAGAAGAGAGAGAATTTGGGAAACTGCATTACGATTCTCTTTTGTTCAACCCCTTTTTTCCTGTTTTCTTTTAGTTTTCTTTTAAATTTTGATTACTATTTTTCTTTCCATTCTCTTCTATTTTTTTTTTCTTCTTATTATTAGTTATATTATTAGTGATAGCAATAATTATATTGTGGATGAACTCAAGATTATTATTAACACAAGAAAGTTAGATGTTGTGATGAACATTGATGGACTATTGAGATTATTTCCTTTATTGTCATTAATTTTTTAGTGTACTTTCTTCCTTTAAGAAATTTTATAATATTAGGAATGTATAAGGTCCTATGTTTTATGCTTTAAATATATTTTTCAAATTTACAATGAGGCTTATACCTCATACTGCCTCAAGACTTATGCCTCGCCTCTCCACGAGAAAACCCTCAGGGCCGCCTTAATCCTTTTAAAAGATTGATATAGTATAAATAATAGTAGAAAGTAAGGATTGGGGGTATGCTTTTGCTGGGAATACCAGTAAGTTGGTGAGGGGATTTATAGGGACTCAGATTTTCCTCTATTGCAACTTAGTTCCCTTGATTCAATGTTAAGTTTCCATCATTGTACTTCTCATCTTGTCAATAGAGAGCTTCATGGTCTCTTCTTAAAATTTCTTTTTTGGACTTAAGTTAATAGTGCTTAGGTTGGTGTTATTCTAAGAATTTATGTCTCGGAGTTTTGTACTTTTCCTCCAAAAATTCTCTTGATTGTTTGAGATGTTCCAGCGCTTTGTCTTTACTCTTCAGTAAAAGACATAATTTATTTCCTTGCCTGATCATTCCTTTTGTTATTTGATACTGCCAGTGACTTACTTGATCAATATGGGGAAGTCCTTGGATTAGACTCTAGAATGATTCCTGAAAATAATTCCGGTAAGCAGTTTGCTGAGGCATTGGCCAAAGCTTGGACCGAATATAACAACCCAAGGTTAGATTTGAAAATTTGACCTTATTATTCATCACCATTCCTACAAACCTAATTTTCAGCATGACTGACGTGGGTTATTAATTTTTGCAGTACTGTTATTATGATTGTTGTTCAAGCCGAGGAACGCAACATGTATGATCAACATTGGCTTTCTGTTCATTTGAGGAAAAGATATCCATGTTTTCTGATTGACAGGCTCCATTAGGTTACATAATTATCTCTATTGTTCACCCATTCTTCCGATCTACTATAGATAGCATGGATTAATTTTCTCAACGTCCAATTTACTGGTGACCAAAACTATATACGCATATTGTTGGTTTTGACTATTTGAACAATTTGATATATCTTGAGTTTTCCAAGTGTTCCTTAGCTTTATAACACACATAATGTCAAGACTATTCGGAAGACACTGGCAGAAATCGATAGGGAGGGAGAACTTCAATCTGATGGAACACTCCTTGTGTAAGTAGTGTTGAATGTCAAAATTAGTTTTTCTTTCGAAAATTTGGTCACAATTTTATGTTACTTATAATTCCCGAGAACTTTCCCCTGTAGAGATGGCCAAGCAGTTGCAGTTGTGTACTTCAGGGCTGGATATACGCCTATTGACTATCCTTCTGAAACGGTGAGCAACTGCTTCATTCGGCTGCTGCTGGCAGCAGACCTTTCTTTGGTTGGGATTAAGTTGATATATTATTTTGGAATGAGCTTGCTGGTATGCATTAGTGTTACCCTTCATTTTAGGCAAAAACTCACATTTTCTTATGAATCTCAATAGTTTTGTGAGACTTTTAAGACTCAAGTAAAAGTAAATTCAAATTCAATTGTATAATATAAATCCGAATGTAGATTAGTTGTTTGAGGATTTGAAGTTCCTTAAGCTGATGAATCTCAATAGTTTTATTTTTTTACTATTTATTATTTTGATAAAAAATAATTTCATTCATGCTTGAAATTTACAAGAGGAAGTGTTATCCACAATACTTAAAAAAAAAAAAAACTTTTATTGTAAGGTATGACTATAGGAAGCAAAAGTACAAGACAACTAAATCCAAGATATAGTGTGTTAAACAACATTGTCGAAAAGTTTTGTATAAGCATGTGTCTTCTTCGTGAATACTCTTAAATTTCTTTCTTTCCACGGATTCAAAATGAAAGCCATAATGAGATTTTTCCATAGCTGAACTTTTGCATTCTTGAAAGGGTGGTACGTTAAGGCCATGTCCAATAAATCCTTTACCTCTCTTACCTCACTTACCTCAGATGCAATCTGTAGGCATTGAGAACCCTATTTTAGAAATTGTGAGTGTATGTGCATTGCACAATAACTGGCTTTGTGATTCGTTGTCTTTCTTAGATAATGAGCACCACCTTGGAAATAGAGTCATGGGGTTTATTGCTTCTGCTTTTTCCTTATGTTCATCATCAGAGATTTGTAGAGAAGATCACGTTAGCGGTAGGAAGCCATGTCAACGAGTTTGCTTCTTTAGATACAACTGGGACAAGGTCAAGGCTTAATTTAATTTATTACGTAGCTTTGTTATCCTTTAAGTTCCTACCAAGCTTCAGGACCCAGAAATTGTTTATGTTGTTCCATGTTTCTTTGATCATGCTTGGTTTGCCTACGAGAGAGTCTTACACAAGTGGATACTGCAAGGTTAATGTGGTATTTTCAATCCAAAGGTTGGTCCAGAAAGATTTACTTCCTCCATCACTCATACTTTGATGAATTCGGCTGGTGATAGGTTTTGATAGAATTTTTATGTACTTCCATGACCCCTTCGCAGAAAATGGAAGGGTCAATTTGTATAGGATGTAGGAGTATATTTGGACTTCATAAGTTTCCTCCACATAATATTTTCTTCGTGATTATATCTTCATATCCATTTGGCGAGGAGAGTAGCTACTTTTTGTGGATTTTCGAATAGAGACATGTAGCTAGTGGGGAGGTTGGACAATTTGACTTGTACTAGGATGACCATATTAATAACTTCCTTTCTATTTTTCAATAGTGGTCTTCCTGAAGGAGAAGTATTTGTGGTTCCCATTTAAGGGTAATCCTTGGTACATATGTACAGGCAGTTGTTACAGTAAATAACTGCAGTCTGCCAACTCATTAGCCATACATCTGATGGTTGTTTTCTTTTAATGTAATCCTTCCAATTTGATGACTTTTATCTATATCAATTCTAAGCCATAAAAAGTCTCTCTTAAAGTTTTTTTTTTTTTTTTACTTCCCTTGTCAACTATTCAAGTTCATTATATCTTGAGTGAAGCTTTGGGGTTATTTTCTCATTTGAATGGTACCAAATTTCAGGAATGGGCAGCTAGGTTACTTGTGGAGCAGTCATCTGCAGTCAAATGCCCGTCCATATCTTACCATTTAGCGGGCACCAAAAAAATTCAGCAGGAACTGGCAAAACCAAATGTACTTGAAAGGTATTAATTATTTTTGTATCTTCAGTTCTCATCCTTTCTTCCGATTCAATTCCCTCCAACACATTGTAGTCAACTTTTTAAGACAGATACATAAGTTCTTTATGTTATAGAATGCAGTCAACTTCCCACCCAAGACGAATATAGAAGTTTTTAAGTTATAGTCAATTTCATTATAAGATGGGGTGAAAAGGAAGGTAAGTAATCCTCAGAAGATAACCAAAATCTGAAAAGCTTACAAAAGAGTTACTTCAATTGTTAAAGATGGAAATTGATCTTAGACTTGCTGCAAGAATACTACCCCGATGATCCTACAGTTTCCCGATTTCCTAAAAATGGGATGCAAGATTAGTCCACCCACAACACCTTAGCTTTTCCCTTAGAAACAGAAGATGGTCGATCGTCCGAGGTCGTTAGGACTGCATTAATTAAGACTGAAGATGCTCAAATTTCCTGCTGATACCTAGTCGAGAAACAATACCTCAGGTAAAGGTGTTGAGTTGTCTCAATTCCCTGCTGAAAATGCCTTGATTGTATCTATAGGATGATTAAAGCTGTAACTTTTCTTGTACACTCTCTTCCAAGTTGACACAGTCTCTTAGAGTCGGTGCATCATTAGACATATTGCTCCTGTAAATTAAGGAATGTGGTTTTTGTGTACTATTATGTTTCCCTTAATTATCAAATGGCCAAAGCCTGAATTAACCTTTTAGATGAAAGAATTATCTCTGGCCGGTTTCTGAACCGAACTGTTTCTTTAAATCAGCCTAAGCAATCCTTACCTTATTAACTCGCTCTATGGAGATGGGTGTTTTACAACTCTCTCAAAATAGAATATATTCCAAATATATGCCATAGTTTCTTACTTCGACAAGGCACAAATATTTAAGCCTTTGTTCGATAAACATTTGGTTTTCAAAATTTGAGCGTATTTTTTAAAAAAACATATAAAAACATTAGGTAAAAAGTAGATAACAAACGAAAAAACCAACAGGTGGAAATAGTATTTATAGGATTAATTTCAAAACCCAAATAGTTATCTAACCGGACCTAAAGTTTTTTAAGTTAGCAACCATGCCAAAGCAAGCTACTTCCCTAAGGAGAGCTTTAAAGCCTTCTAATTCAATAATGCATAGTTTCTATCCCAAATATTATCTCTCTCGAGGCTGCTCTCAATAGAAGGCAACAATACCACCCTCTAGTTTATAAGATGACTATCAACTTCTTAATTTGTGTATTTGTACAAAAGATTCCCAGTGCAATGCCCGTTAGTGTATGCATATGTATGTGTTTATATATTTTAAAAAAGTAAAAGCTAAACCCCCGCACATTTGGAAATTGTGGGGAATTCTCCATGCAGGCAATTCGTTCTCAATTCTTTCAGTGAGCGGATTCCAGAACTTAGCTGCACACCCCAAAGAAAAACTTAGAAAGACTATGAAACTATGAATAAGGTCCCTACCAAACGCTAAAAAACGGTAGCTATTTTAAATCTTCCAAAGAAAACCAAGAACCAACCACCAACCAACAAAAAGGCCTTTTAAAGCCCATCATAAAACATCATCGAAAAACTCTTCAGCTTTACAAGAATCATTAACCCATTGAAGAAACCAAGGTTGTACTTAGAGGAGAGTGCGCCAAAAATCTTGAAATGAATTCTCTTTATAAGTTGAGAAACTGAAGCATACCATTTATTTCCTGAAGCTCAATAGACTTTGTCTTCATAAAAATATTCACTGTTAGAGCATTTCAATCCTCGTAATGGGATTGATCTTGTTGGGATTTGATAATTTATATAGGAAATAGCTTTCCTTATTGCAATTTCTATATGCAGCTGAACTTTTAAGCCCCTACTTCAGGTTCCTTGACAATAAAGAGGATATTGCCAAGATAAGGAAATGCTTTGCAGGGTTGTGGAGTTTAGATGACAAAGATATCGTAAAAAAAGCCATCGAAGCACCAGACCTATTCGTTATGAAGCCGCAAAGAGAAGGCGGAGGTCGGTTCCATCACCTTTTAAATTCTCTCATTATGATTTGCCTCGACTCCTTTCTTCCTTTCCTTAATAAACAATTCATCAATCTCCTTCAGGGAACAATATCTATGGCGATGATGTGAGGAAAACCCTTGTAAGATTGCAGAAGGAAGGGAATGTAGAAGATGCTGCTTACATTCTTATGCAGAGGATATTCCCATCTGTTTACCCGACAATTTTTGTTCGAGATGGGATTTGTCATAAGGATCACGCAATTTCAGAGCTCGGTATATTTGGCGCTTACTTAAGGTATGCAACTCACTTATCTACAACTTCTTTGAGATTATCTGATGCTAACCAATTGGATGATTATCATGTATGAAGAAAGAAGTGACAAACAGAGACGTTTTAATCATTCAAATATGCTAATATAGGGATCCAAGTTCTACTTTACTCTATTTTTTTTCTTGTTCTGCTCTTTTCAGTCAACCATGGTGTGACTTTGAGAATTCTGTTAGGAAGATACTTTTAAATGAAATATTTAGTAGAGGCATTAGCTGAAATTAAAGAAATTGAACGGAAAACTGGTTGGTTCGGTTGGTTTGAAGTATATTTTTCAGTTACTTTGGATTCAAGTTACAGTAAATTCCTTAAAAGAGAACACTTAAGACTTGAAGCAGCCGTTAAAAGAGGAACAGAGGGTCTGAAGGCTATAAATAACAAGCAAAGAGAACACTTAAGACTTAAAGCAGCCGTTGAAAGAACAGAGGGGCTGAAGGCTATAAATAACAAGCAGCCACCAACAGCCTAAACACAGCCTACATCAGTTCTTTTCCCTCCTAGACAAGGAAACTGACCCGCTTACGCTGTGATGTCCCACATTGGTTAGGGAGGAGAACAAACCACCATTTATAAGGGTGTGAAAACCTTCCCCTAGTAGACGCGTTTTAAAGCTTTGAGGGAAAAATCCGAAAGGGAAAGCCCAAAGAGGATAATATCTGCTAGCGGTCGATCTGGGCTGTTACATACGCTAATGATACGAAATATGAACTAGTGGTTGTTTTATCTCTCTAATGTTTTTGTTGGTCGAATTGTGGGTTGGGATCGAACGAACCATCGACATTTGGAATAGCCATTTGTGGCCTATTCCCAAGCTACGCTCAAATTAACACCTTGTCTTTTATGTTTTTCATTCTGTCCTGAAACTTCTTTATTTGATATGCAGGAAGAAGGACAAAGTAATTGTGAATGACCAATGTGGTTACTTGATGAGGACAAAAGTATCATCATCAAATGAGGGTGGTGTTGCAGCTGGATTTGCTGTCTTGGACAGTATTTACTTAACTTAACGGCTTTGTTTCCAATTCTCCTTTGCAAAAACCCATAGAAAATCTCCTATATTGGTTGAATTTTCTAAGTTGCTTCAATGGGATTTGATAATTTGGAATCCTAATAAACTCTCAACTAAGGGATAGATTTTATTGATATTTATGATTCATGTTACTCAGCAGACAACTTTCTCCCCCAGCTATGCTGAATTCATCTAAAGTTTAGATTTAGTATCTTCATTTAGGTGTTTGGTGTCTTTGCTGGCACACCCACAAGCCTTAAGATTGACTCTGATATCAACCGAAGGAAATGAACTCTTCATTCATACCAAGAGACTAGAGAGTGGGGGGTTGTCCTCCTCACTGACCCCCTTGTTTTGATTTTATAAAACAAAAGAATAAATAGGAGAGTAAGAACTCTACCTTTGTAGAGGTAAGACTTATTAAAGTATTCTAGTATTCTTCATATTTCATAAAATTTGTTAGGACTCGAACACAAGACTAAGGCTTGAGCCTCTTAAAAGGAAATTTCAAACGAATTGAATGACATATAACTCAACCAACAAGATAGAAATTAGACTATAATATATATATATATATATATATATATATATTTATTTATATATGTTCGGAAAAAGTTAATTTATATTAATAAATTTGGGATTGTAATACTTAAAATTCTAACCTAATAATTAAGATCATAAACAGCCACAAGTGAATTAGTTTAGATCTTCAATTATAATTTTCTTAAACTTTGAAATTAACGTAAATTAAAGAGAAAATTCTAAAATTTTGAAATTAATGTAAATTAAAGAGAAAAATGTTCATTAAATATATGGTAATAAACCGCTACTTATTTTTTCCATAACTAAAGTGAATCGTTTCATTTCAACGGGTTAGTGTGAGCTCATCCAGTGGTTATGCACTCTTCGAATAGGAATCCATTTTCTGAAAGATTGTGACTTTCGTACTTTGGTAGGTCTTCAAAATCCTTTTGATGGCCTATGTTGTGTTGAAAGGATATCTATATGGTCTGATTGATTACGTAAAGCCTGCGGTAGCAACGGAACTAAGGAAAGTATACAGAAAAGATTGTTTTTTCTGTCTTATTAGTATTAGATTAGTATTAGTTAGTGATCTCGACTCTTATGTGATGAACTATTGGCACCCATCCTCCATTTTGTTTCTGTGGATCGAAGAGAACGGATATATTTTTTCTTCTTTTCTTTAATATATTTTCATCCCGACACAATTGAGGATTCTACTAAAAATTATACATTAAGTTATTTTTCAAATTATATTATTTAAATTGCTCTCCAAAAATCTTTTCAAAAAATACGTCATCAAAAGCAAAAAAGAAAAAAAAGAAGAAAAAAAAAAGGTTCATTTTGTTCAAAATGGATAACCGTCAAAGCTTTAACGGTAACAAACTACCACTGTCGCGCCTCTTCTCCCGTACATTAAATGCCCGACCATCAACTTCCTCAAACACTCACTATTCCCTTCACAAACAACCCACGGCGGCGCTCTCGACGGCGCCGGCCGCCGCAAAAACCCCACCAAACACCGTCGAGCACACATGGCAATCGATCCAAGGAACACCATGGGCGCCTTCGAACCAGATCAAGACCCATACGACAGTTCCATCAACGCCAACATTCTCAATTTCGCCAACGACCAAAACCCAACTCTCGACGACTTGCAGTCCACAGCAGAGCAGCCAGTGGCGGCGGCGCGTGACTCCTACGGCGGCCGAACAAGCGCTTTTCAGAACATGGGTATGGTGGAATTGTTGACACATTTCAGTTTCGGTGGACAATATGATTCAGAAGCAGGCCCCTCAAACGCCGGCGAAGCAGCAAGCAATTTTGAAGAAGATGATGATACTCAAATACCCAGTGAAGTCGAATCGAAATTGCTGGCAATTTGGCCCGTAACTCCGGTGCCATTTCTGTGCAGTTGCTGCCAAGTTCTAAGAGAATTTCTTCATAGCAATGGTCGATTTCTTCATAAATCAACATCATAAACACAAATTCAGTGAAATTTCCCTGTTTTTTTGAATCAATTCGTATATTTCTTGAACAGGGGTGAACAGCAGAAAACTGGAGATTCATGGTCGACTTGGAATGATCTGTCATGCAATTCTGGAACATAAACCGATTGTTAACGTGGATAATATAAGTCCTCAGTATCAAATGTTCGAGTAAGATATCAAATTTTGTTTAATTTGATCTGATTTTACTTGGATTAATTTGTTGTTTTTTGTTTTTAAAGTTTTTGCGACAAAAGCTTTGAGGAGATCAAGCAGTTCTTGCTGCAGTATTGTTTGAAGCAAATTTTGGAGGATTATAACATGATTCCAGATCCGATGTCGAATTTCTACGACGCGCTTTGTGTCGGGATTGACTGGTTTGAAAATCTCAATACTACTGATGCGTTCTTTCAACAGTCTCCTGATAATTCTGGTTGGTTAAAGGAATATCTTCATTTTAATTTGTAATAAATTTATTTTCCAGAAGAAAAACATGAACTTGTTTATGCAGAAGATGAAGATATAGATCAGCCCGTCCCTGAGTTCCAAAATGATGCGCCTGAGCCGCAAGGCCAACCATCTAGACGGCCCTCGCTTGCAGCACAGGTTTGTTTTAGTTGTTGGAGTGTATACCGGTTAGGTTGGGTTGGGTTGGGTTGGTCGAGAGAAACTCTTGATCTAACCTGAAATTTATGGTTGGTTGGGTTAGGGACCCGAATGACTCGGTTTACAACAGAACACTTTGTTTTTTTGTGTTTGGTGTTAGGAACTTTAAAAAATATAACCCAATCTAAAGTTTATAATTTGAGTTGAGTAGATCGAATTATTCAACGAACACATTTACTTCTTAACACGACTAGGACTACATTAAAATGGGGTGTTTTTTTTTAAAAAAAATTTGATAGAGGCAGAGAACAGGGAGAATGACGGTGAACGATGTGTGGGAGTATCTTCATCTTCCGATATCAGAAGCATCGAAGAAGTTGAATGTGTGCAATACGGTGTTGAAGAAGATATGTCGGCGGAGTGGTCTTAGCCGTTGGCCTTACAGAAAGGTGGCGATTTTTTTCTTTTTGAAACTCACTCTCCATTTCTTTAGAAACCCTAACTTTAATTTAATGAAAAACTGATGCAGATACGAAGTTACGAGAGGCGAATAGCAGCGCTGAAAACCACAATGAATTCCAATTATGGAGACACCAAAGCCCGAGCCCGAGCCGAAGCTGAGATCCAAAGGGTTCAGAAAGAACTCTCTGATTTTTGTGCTCGAATCAGAATTTGATTATCATTATTTTGTACATTTTATTCTACTTTTTTGTTTTTTTTTTAAACTAATTTTTAATAATGGATATATTATATAAATTTAAATTTATGTCGAATGAAATCTTAATGTATTCTTTTATATATATATATATATATATATATTTTGTAATTAACACTTAGTATGGCCAAATTAATTAATTAATTTATTTATTTATTTATTAAATTGAATTAAAAATTGTAATTTAATGAATTAAAAAAAAGATATTTATTACAAAATGAACCAATTATCCGTCGTGCGGGTCTTAGGGCTCCATTAGATTTCGCTATTTCCGGGCCCAAAATCTCTGCTTCCGGACTTTTCCCCTTTTTATCCAATTTATTTAATTTCACTTCTCTCCTCCGATTCAAGTCCGCGTTCATCTCCTCTCTCTGTCTAATTTCCACTGTCGTTGCAGAGGTCAAATATTTGGCTGTTTTTTTTTCCCTCCTTTTGCTTTCTCTCCTCCCTTCTTCCTCGCCGTGTTTCTCGATCGGTTGTTCATTTTTCTCTCTATCAATCTTTCACTCTCTATCGCACTTGTGGCGCTTCCAATTCGAAGGTGAGAGCTGTCGGCCATGGACGGAGGTGCTCCCTACAATCCACGTACTGTGGAAGAGGTGTTCATGGATTTCAAGGGCCGGAGAGCTGGTTTAATTAAGGCTCTCACTACTGGTCAAGTCTTACTTTGTGTTCTTCCTTCGAAATTCTTTCGCGCTTTTGTCCTTTTGCTTTTCTGGTTTTTATTGATTTTTTTCCTCTCATAATTTCGTGAGATTTTTTTACCAGTTCTGCTTTTCTGGTTGCAGATGTTGAAGAGTTCTACCAGCAATGTGATCCTGGTTTGATTTTATTGCTGCTCGTTTATGTTTTTAGATTCTTGTGTGCGTTGTCCGAAAGAGATGTTAGTAGTTTCTTGCTAGGAACCGAGATTTGACCACTGCAAAGTTCAACTAAAGAGATTATAAAATCGATGAGTTTTGATGTTTTCATCGGCCTAATTTTCTAACCCAATTTGTCATTTCTTTCTTTAGTAAGCTGGAAGTAATTAGCTTTAATGTTAATATTGTGATAGAATTAGCTTTAGTAAGGAAGAACTAAGCATGTAGCATTATTCACTAATTTTTAACACATTTGTCACGCGTTGTGTCTATTTTCAATGGAATTCTTGTTTGAATTATAACCTAAATTTTCTTAAATTACAGAGAAAGAAAATCTCTGCCTTTACGGGTTTCCTAGTGAGCAATGGGAAGTCAATTTACCTGCCGAAGAGGTGCCTCCAGAGCTTCCAGAACCTGCGCTGGGCATAAATTTTGCTAGAGACGGGATGCAAGAAAAAGACTGGCTATCCTTGGTTGCTGTGCATAGTGATGTTTGGCTGCTTTCTGTGGCATTTTATTTTGGAGCTAGGTTTGGATTTGATAAGACAGATAGGTATGTGTTATCCTGACCTGCACTTCGTTATTTTATAGATGTAGCGAAGGCCTTGGTATGAGCTTCAAGCCTCTCTCTGTCTTTTAATTGTCGTTGAGTTGTTCTTAATATAATATTTGATTCAATGGTTTCTCATTTCATGTGTAGTGGGAAACTGTTTTGCTTTGCCGTTGGATTCTTTCTTTGGGTATTGGTGATAGGTAGATTGTAAGCCCATGCATGCTTTCTATGTGCTAAAATTTTTAAAAATGGAGTTCTTTTGTGGTATGTTATAACTTGGTTAGGTTATGGATTGAATTTGTATAGCCAATCTCTTTCTCACAAGGGTTTGCAAACTGTTTGCATTGTGTATTTCATCACTTGATTTTTGTTTTTTTTTTTTTTACTTTTAAATTCATCACTTCTTTTATATCTACTTCTAAATGAAAATATACTAAACTAATGCATATTTTTAATACAAAAGGGTATTTTATAAAATGTAAATTTAAGCAAGCATGCCTTTTGCCATGCTCCTGTCCTGATTTTATAGAAAATGATGTGCAGTGTCTGGCATGCTGTGGCTTCGTAGGCTTTATTTCCTTGATGTACATCGCGAGTTTTTCCGAGTTGTCCTCTTGACATGTTCTTATAAAGTTTTTGATTTCACACGTTTTCATCAAGTTTTGTTTTCCAGATTCTATTTCAATGTTTGACTTCCAGATTTTTCATTTGCATTTCACATGTTTGATAAGATTATCCTAACTTAAATGCATAAACTAGGTTCGCAGCTGAGGTAAAGGATGATTAATTTACTTCAGGCTTCATTATTATGATGGGAGAGTCCCATGTTTTACTTTCTCTGTTTTGTTCCAACTCTCAAGGTGTAGGATAATCAGCATAAACACACTTTACGTTCTTGTGGTTTCTTCATTACAACAGGGTCCTTGACATGTTCTGTTGCTTTTGTTGCAGGAAGCGTCTATTTAATATGATAAATGATCTTCCAACAATATTTGAAGTTGTGACAGGGACAGCCAAAAAACAAGTTAAGGATAAATCATCAGTTTCAAATCATAGCAGTAATAAATCTAAATCAAATCCAAAGGTTTGAAAGATATTTTTAATCCTGCTTTCTCCCCTTTTATTAGTTTTTTTAGCCTCTTCAACTTAAAATGGCCAAAGACACTACAACGACTAGTTATTTTTCATTTCTCTAATGGTTTGGCTGAGGTGCAGCCTTGTAGAAACCTTCTACCTGCATCTTAGATGACGGAATCACGACCTTCCACAATGGTATGATATTGTCCACTTTTAGCATAAGCTCTCATGGCTTTGCTTTGGGCTTCCCCAAAAGGCCTCATACCAATGAAGATGTATTCCTTACTTATAAACCCGTGATCATTCCCTAAATTACCAATGTGGGACTCCCTCCTAACAATCCTCAATACTGCATACTATACTACAGTAGGATAGATCAATATGTGATTCAATCCATGATGGAGGCAACTTATTAAGCATAATTTTTGGCATATTTTTTCAATGTTCAGCGGAGTTCCGAACCTCAAATAAAAAGTACGAAGGCAGTTCAATCAAAAGATGAGGATGAGGAAGGTTTGGATGAGGAAGACGAGGAAGAACACGGTGAAACACTTTGTGGAGCTTGTGGAGAGAATTATGCATCAGATGAGTTCTGGATTTGCTGTGACATATGTGAGAAGTGGTTCCATGGGAAATGTGTAAAGATCACTCCGGCAAGGGCAGAGCATATTAAGCAGTATAAATGTCCATCTTGCAGCAACAAAAGAATCCGACCCTGATGTTGTTTAATTGTTAGCACCACCAACTTCCCCTGCCTCCCAAAACCAAAGCAAAAAGAGAAAACAAAAGGAAAAAGAACCAAGAGATGTCAAAGGGTTCTGCTTAGGATCTCAGCTTAGACGGCTAATTGTGTATTAGGATTAGTTTAAACTTTACATTAGGACACTATACATTCTATGTGTATTTGTGGACAGAATCCTTTTTGCTCAAGTATTGTATGAACTATATGTATTTTGTATGTGCTATAATGTGTTCTTGTCAAGGCTTATATTTGACAGATGCCTTGCTCTATTGTACATGCCGTTCGGGTCATGGGGACGCAACCGGGTGAGGTTTGGTTTGGTTTGGTTTGATTGGCGGGTTTATTATGCATTGAAGATTAGTTGCCCTCACATTCCATCTCATACCAATTTTATAGCAATTGACATAAACATGGTTTATTTGCCCTAACGATCTCTCTAGGGCTCAATGTTCTTGCTGGCACACCGCTCGAATGTTCTTTGCTTACACCAGAAGAAGATACTCTCTTTGTCACTGTTAAAGTCTTATGCGCGTGTTCAAGTATTCTTTTTCACTGTGTAAAGGTATTCTGAAAAAGAGCTAGCTACTGAAACTGAAACTGAACATATCCTTTCTTTACCTTAGCTTCTTACTTTTTTGTTTGCCTCTATCTCGATAAGCTGAACCCCTGCCCGCGGAACCTGAAGCTTGTAAGCTTCACTTCCTCTCTTCAGTGTCAGTTGAAAGAACCAATGAGAGCTCACTGTACATAGCAAAATACAAACACGCTTTAACTTTGAGGTTTCTATAATTGAATTGATAAAAGTAGTAACTTTCAGTTTTTTTTTTTTAAAGTTTTTTTTAATTATCCTATCCTCAAGAACTCTTTAGATATGGTCTCAGTTCATTCATGTATCATGAATGTAATGATCCTAAATTTTTACATACTTATAGTTACTATTAACATCTCATGCTTTGTTAAAATGCGGAATATATCTCTTAAAAGAAAACCTCATTTCTAGTATAAATGTCAAAAACATTTAAAACATTATCTTCTTTGAAAAATACAGTCATGATCTTACATGTTTTACATACAAAGTACTGAAATTTAGAGAAAATAAAAATAAATACAAAATAATTTAAAACGATGAAATGCAAAACAACATATTATAACTTAAGACTAGAAATTTAAATATGAGTCTACCCTATGCATGTGTCATAGTCTTTGCTTGCGATGCTGCCTGTACATGTGTGCCTTGTGTTTACCTGAAAAATGATGTGGCACATAGCCTGAGTATTTCAAAAAATACTCAGTAAGTGACCCCACTATAGGGCCATGCAAATGCAAACACATGTAAACCCAGGGGGCTCGCACACCCCCTAGACCCTCTCTGGTCAATCTAATCTATAGCGACGTCCGGAGGTTAGCGGAACCCCTTGGTGTCAGGCTCCCCATGAACACCTTCATCATTATATTGTGCATGTATGTATTCATCATCTATGAGGAAGTATCCCTATGCTTATGAATACGCAACATGCATGAGGTCCCTCTAATTTCCATCCTATCATCTCTTCTGACACAATCCTCTAGTCTCATCTCTTTGCTACATGAAGTAATACATGCTCGTTGAATATTTATATTAATATCATTTTCATGCTCTTAGAGTTGTGTCCTATGTTGGTCTATTGACATGATGAATGTGTCACTCATCAACATATAGCATGTTTAATACGAAAAATATCAACATATTAAGACAAACGTCATGCAATCATCTTACTCATCATATTGCCATAAAGTGCATCAAGCATATCAAGTACGTCATTCATGATGGTGTTAATATAACACATGCGGAAGCAATTTGGATCTTAGGCACTCTAAGTACATCAATTATAGTGAATTAGCTAGCATGTTCAAAAGCATTAAAACTCAATGAGTTTGAATACTAACTTTTTGTCGCTCAAGTTTCTTTTTTCTCACGAACCAGTTTCGAACCACTATTAGTGTCTTCTCCACTATTCTCCAGCCTTAGAACGGGATTGTGGGATCCGGTGAGTGACTAAACTTAGGAGGGATTTAGTATATATGAAGAGAGAGTTTGTGAGAGGTTTTTCTCAAGGTTTTTTTTTCCAAAAAAGTCAACTTTACACGTAACATGATCACTCTATTTATAGAGTCATGTTTGTTTGGGCAGGCATGCAAGTTTGGTTAAACCAAATTTTGACATTCAAAATTCCACTAACATGTATTTTTCCATTAAATGAATTTGACTTCATTTTGATTCAACAATCAATTTGATTTATTAATTTCAAATTAAAGTAATATTAAATGATTAATTAAACTATTTAATTAATATTTAATATTAATTCAAATGCCAATCCCAATTAATTTCGACACATGATTAAGATATTTAAATCTTATTTAAATATCTTATATTCTCTCTTTTTGTTTAATTCGTAAATAAAACAAAAAATCGGTTAAATATATCGTATATATATGGAGTGCATTCTCCCTAATTTGAATTCGAACACTTCGAACTTACTCATCACATTGTTCTATGGTTTAGTCCGATATGAGCTAGCAGAGGGACCTAATGGACCTATAGATCATGGGCTCCAATGATCCAAGATTACCCGGTTAAACTCACTAACCTTGTTAACCAACATTCGTTAACTACTACGATATTCCACTATAGCCTAGTAGTTGCACTCTCCTCACTATAGATATATTTCTGTCCATTTGATATAACCATGATTAGTAAGTCGATCCTTCACAGGTTGTTCGTAACTAGAGCTGGGTCAATTTACCGTTTTACCCCTGAAGTTACTTCTTGTTCCTTATGTCTCACTGATCCTTTAATGAACAATTGGTTTGCGGTCCAACCAGTAAACCGAATCCCTCTTAGGCCAATGAGAGGGTGGGGCCCCTTGCTCAAGACCTAGAGTCAGTACTTAAGGGAACTACCTCTCTTCTATCCCTAAAAGTGGGTAGGAGTAAATTCCATCTTGCACCCCACGTCCCCACCCATTTACCCAGTCTTACCCCTGAAATGGGAGGCCTATTGAGTCGGCGAACTTGAGCCACTCTCACCCATGCAAATCTAAGGATAATTCCGAATAAACAAGAGTTTATGGTTAGCTCAAGATTAAGATCGAGTTACCTAGGTCATCGAATGAAAAGAAAATTAATCTCAACAGTAAACGAAATTATAAAGTGAGAGTGATTTTCTTCATGGTTCGATCTTATGCAATACTCATTGCATAGGACGCCCCCTCTCACATGTCTCCACATATACAATTTAGTGATCACATTGTTTATATCATATACAAAAAGTGGGCCGCATCCATAGTGTCCCCAGAATAAGATACTCAGCCTTATCCTTATACTATAGATCATTTTGACTATATACTTGAACTTGATCAACTCTTATGTCTCTACATATAATTCAAGTAATCATACTATAGCCAGAGTATTCTTAGTTTATTGGATTTAGATTAATGATCGTAAAATTCACTTTATTCAATAATAATCTTTACTAAATAAACAATAGTAATAACTTTATTGAAAATAGAATATGTTTTTGTTTACAAACTATGAGTTTTAGGACATAAAACCCAAAAATTCATCGAAACATATATAATACACACATCATCAAACATCACAACTTTTACGTCATCATATACTCATACATCATCATAACTCATACATCGTCATATGCTAGTATATAACATCATACGATACAACTCATACGTCATAAATTGTAACTGATACAACTTCTAGTCTATCTTACAGTAAGACCATTTACCTGATTAACTTAAGCTGGTGTCACCAATTTATCCTGAATGGAAGTTCGATTTTGTTCTTTGAAATCGACCATATTAACTATGTGAGCCTATGACATCAATTTTTAAATTTCAAACTTTTGCTAAACTATTTGGCTAAATTCTATCATGGTTCATGTGTTAGACTTTGTGCCGTCCTTTTGGGAAGGCAGTTGGTAGCTATATCCACAGCTAACTCCAAAAATTATCTAAAAATTTCCTTTCAAAAAAAAAAAAAAAGAAAGTAAGACCGGAGAGAGTGACAAATACAAAGAAAAGTAGAATAAACAACAATGTTCAAAGTCTAAGCTTTTAAATGGAATGATTCAATTCTATACAAAATGGTTATATGTGGTTACAAAATGGTAAAACCGAATACCAAAATGCAATAAATTTGACTTCGACTTCTGACTCAAACATAGTCTACAATTCAATTAACACGACCAAATCTAAACAAATTTTTACTCGAATTTCTTTGAATCTTGAAATTTACGTATTAAATAACATAACACCAACATCCCTATCAATAATAAATTACTTTTTTTTTTCTTTCAACTCAATTCAATACTCTATTTTTGAAGTCCTATTAATTCTCATCCCGTACATGTCACATTCATAATTAACACCCATCACCGGTACAACTTGGTATTCAACTTCCTTAAATTTCAGCAAGTTGTCTTCCACGTGGCTCAGATCCATGCCGTTAATATATTTCCATCTGCCGTGACATGGACGGTTCCTAAGGCTTTGACTTGGTCCAATCGAATCAGGATGCCTTTTGCATGATACTGAAATATTTGCGTCTTTGATTTGGTCAACGTCGGCCTCCCTCGATTAACAAGTATTATATATATTTTAAAAACTTTATTTTTATACGTAACGCTTCAATTATTCTTAAGCTAACTTCGTCTCAATTTTTGCTATTATATACTTTATTTACAAAAATATATATAAAGTATTGAACTTATATTTTAATATATGCTAAATCTATTTGAATAATAACGGGACTATGTTAAGTAGTTTTCTCGACTATATTCATAATATGTACAAAAAGACAAGATTTTGAGTTTTGTTGGTTGAGAGGTTAAACCGTAGGTGAAGACCAAACTCGTCAAACAAAGTATTCAAAACCTTTCTATGACTTATGCAATAGTTGAATGACTATTTGACCGTAACAATAATCAATTCCAAGACGTAAGGTGGAACTATGTTTCGGCAAGTAGAAGTAATACAAGTTATTGATCTAATTTTCTCGTAGATAGGTGACCTTAGAAATTTTCATTCATATGTTAGTTTTAAAAATTTATGTGTATTTTTTTTTAATTTTAAAAAGTTTAAAAATTTTAATTTTTTTTTTAAATGGATGAATATTTTACTAATTATGTCCTTCCAAAATTAATGAAATGATAATTATTATTATTTTTTTTTTTTTGGAAGTGGGCTCTATAAAATTGGAAAGTTTAAAGTTATTTTTAAA